TTCTATATATATTAGTTGGCCAATTAATTTCTTTCTATTTATAGTACAGACGGGGTCTCGCTCTTGCTCAGGCTGGTTGCAAACTCCTGACCTTGAGCAATCTGCCCGCCTCGGCCTCCCAGAGTGCTAGGAATACAGGCGTGAGCCACTGCACCCAGCCATCAATGGAAATTTAATAAAAACTTTCCTAAGATAATCTGATAAAAAATCTGAAAGTACAACTTTCAGATGTACTAAGTTCCCTTAAAATGGCCCATACAGTTTAGAGAGATAAAAATAAGCTAATTATGTACCAGATGTAGACAGAGCAATGTGAATAAACCATACAACAGGGCTAAATTTTTAAAAAGAAGAAAGAGAATGAGGTCTTAATGCCATACCATTTATGTCAACTAACAATATATGTACATAAAGCACTATTTCACTGGGTCACACAAATAAAAAAACACCAAATATACAGAACACAGCAGGGAGAGGAAAGGGAGTAGAGAATGGAGATAAAAGGTAATTAATAAAACATTATTCAAATCAATTCCTCAAAAGTGCTCTTGTACAGACCAATAACAGCATGCTATGATTTGATCAATATGATTAATTAATTTCCCCTTTGCAATAAAGGTCTAAAAATACCTCCCAAAACTAAGATATACTTAAAATTTACTAAATCACAACAAAATATATTTGATAGGATTTTGGATAAATAATAAAATTGGTTCATTTATTTAACCTACCTAGTTGAAAATTTTAGTGGAGAAAATACCTATTCTTTTTACTAGTAGAATAACACAAATACAAAATGGTTTCATATGGTAGTGTTTTCAGTCATAATCACTTAATGATACCACCTCAAATGTTAGAAATAAAAAAGTTAGGAAAAATAAAAAAGCAAAGTATAATTTAGCCAAAGGAGATTCATACAGTAAACAAACAAAACTAATCTCAAAGCCAAATGAAGAATAACATTCTTCTGTAGAGGGTCATATGAGAATACGTATATAGATAAGTATACACATGTAGATAAATATATACATCAATAGAATACTTACTGATATGAGGAACAAATATATATTAAAATCATTAATTTAAACAAGAAAGAGAAATATGGCCCTCATCATTAGCTTCAAAGACAGAAATAACATTTTTTAATAGAACAGAGGAAGTATATAAATACAGTTGTCTAATTCATTTCTATCCTTCCTTTTCAAATAAATCTAGGAAATCAATCACCTTACTTAATAGAAAGGTAGATAAATGGACTAGGCACTGAATTAAAAATCTATTTTTAAAAAAGAGAGAAGAAAGAAGCACAGTATATATTTGATAAACTGAACTAAAAAGAAAAGGGAAATTATAAGTCCTAGCCCTAGAAGGGACCTTTGGGGTTTGCTTGCCTAAACTTTCATTTTATTGATACAGAATAGAAAAAACAGTGCAAGAGGAAAAAAAAAGACTGGTGAACTTCTGCTCCCATGTAAATGGTTCAAAGTTAGGTTAATTACCAGGAAATGAGTCCGTTGGGTTTGCTAATATTGCAGAACTGAGACTTCAGACAGCCCCATCTAGACTCCCAGACAGCCCCTCTTTGTCCAGCACCCCATCATTTACCTGGGAGCCAAAAGCCCAGAAATCCCACATCTCCCTTTATTTTCAATATTTTTTATAGAATAAAAGGAATGTATCCCTAGGCAGACATTAAGCATGTTAGTTTAAATACTTCTCCTAAATAGATACTATATCCTATAGGTATAAAATTGATTAACAGCTCCTAAGGATGAGAGTAGAATTTTTCAGGGGGGTTTTATGTGAGAACAAGGTATCTAGAGCAATACCAATCTCAGATAAAAATTAAGTCTAGTGTGCATAATCTATTCATTTTACAATTAAGTAAAAGAAAAAAGGTGACTTTCTGATTTTTACCACCTCCACCCCGGCCTTGGATCTTCTGGGACCAGAATTTACTCTATAACAATATATTTATTCCACAAGTGTTGAAATTTAAGTAGATTAGATCTTCTTTAAATCACATTTCAGACACATGAAAGAATACATAGAAGAGAAACTAATTATAAACTGCTAGTTGCCCCCCACCAAATAAGATCAAAACATAAGCCACAAATTAAAACTTTCAAGGAAAGGAAATTCTAAATACAACGCAAGTGTCAGTCACTTTCAAATTATCTACCCCGTTGTTTCTTATGTGTTCTTTCTCTCCATTCTTGCTTTTCTAGGAAGGGACATTACTTCCTGATCTTAAATCTCTCTTGGTTAGTACTAAAGGACAACAAGCCAGCCAAATCACAACCCTTGATTATTTCATAGAATGAGAAGCATAAGTATAGTTAGGACAAAAGAAGGATGCTTTCTTCGATACAAGTGAATCTACCATTTGATTCAGCAATCCCATTGCTGGGCATCTACCCAAAAGATCCAATGACACTCTACAAAAAAGACACCTGCACTCGAATGTTTATAGCAGCACAATTCATAATTGCAAGGCTGTGGAAACAGCCCAAGTGCCCATCAATCCAAGAATGGATTAATAAAATGTGGTATATGTATACCATGGAGTACTATTCAGCTCTAAGAAACAATGGTGACATAGCACATCTTATATTTTCCTGGTTAGAGCTGGAACCCATACTACTAAGTGAAGTTTCCCAAGAATGGAAAAACAAGCACCACATATACTCACCAGCAAATTGGTATTAACTGAACAGCACCTAAGTAGTCACATAGGTACTACAGTAATAGGGTATTGGGCAGGGGGGAGGGGGGAGTGGGGTGGGTATATATATATATATATAATGAGTGAGATGTGCACCATCTGGGGGATGGTCATGCTGGAGACTCAGACTTGTGGGGGGAAGGGGGGAAATGGGCATTTATTGAAACCTTAAAATCTGTACCCCCATAATATGATGAAATAAAAAAAAACACCCAAAAAAAGGATGCTTTCTTATGGCAAATATATCATAGGATATGCTGAAACATAATATCAAATTTTCATGAATTTTTAAGTTAGTTCAAAAAATTTCACATTTGCTATTATCTTTTTAACCTATGTCTTCTATACTTCTAAGAGATATTCATTTACTATCTTCTGCCATCAAGTAACATTTCAATGTGAAAGTCCAAGAAGTCCTGATATAGTGAGAAAATAATAAAACAACAATCCTGAACCTGGAGTCATAGCACATGAGTTCAAGTCCCTGACATCCCCTTACATGCTGTGTGACCTTGGTCAGGCCGTTCACCTCTCATTTCCTCACGTGCAGACTGAGATCCTACCACTTGTGACTTTATATACATCTTAAACTGTAAGTTCTTATTCAAATGCAAGGTATAAGTAATATTTTATTTATGATATAAATGGTTTAATCTACTAAAAATGATACAGAAATCTGGGGAAAATATGCATTTATACTCTAAAAAGTATTATTTCTCTCCCTGTTAAATTTCCTTCCATCTATTGCATTAAAAGGCATATTAGGCTAGTGGAGCAACACATAGTTTCCATAGTGTCACAGAATGGAAAAAGCTAAGGGTGAGTTATTGGGACTTAAAGTTATAAGGAGATAGAAAAGATATAGACTATACTTAATTCCTTGAGAAGAAGCAACAATGGTCCTAGGAATTAAAAGAGGGTTGGGTTCTTTCCTGATTGTTGTTGCAGAGGCCAAGACCGAGCCATGACAAGCTGGTCCTCCACAGCTGTGCTGCTTTGGCAACCAAAAGAATGTCCTGGCTCACAGTCCTGGCCAAACTGTGAAAAATGGAGCTGTCCACTGAAAAGTAGGAAATCTGCAACAGAAATAAGTAATAGAGCTGGATGCCAAATTCAAAGATCACCAGAAACAATGCAAGAAAAGCAAATATTTCAGGATAATAAAGAATAATTTGCTAATTTTGAAATGCAGTAGCAAATTGTACTTTATTTATTTATGCATTCATTGACAAATCCAAATATGTGAGTAAAAAATAGAATTAACTGCCAAAAAGCAAGTACATTTTCAAATGCTCTCAGCTAGGGTTTAGTGGTAACCAGGGCCTTCCTCTCCCTCCCAATAGCAATAGCACATTGTTGGCCCAAGTGAAGTTGCTATTTGTACAAAAAACCTTTTGGAGAGTTCATGAAACAGAGTTCAAACTAATTCTTGAGATAAGGACCCTGCAAATGGTTATAAACATATGATCTGCATTAGAGTTAGTCTTGGACAAAATGATCTTTACCAGATTTTGTCTTAAGTTTTTCCAACACTTGACATTTGAATATTTTTTTGCTGCAAATGAATTAATGTGCTGATAACGGTTTTTTTCAATAAAGACAAGTACAGAGATTATAGGTGAACATTTATCTACTGTTATCATAACACCAGTACAATTTTAATAAAAAGGCTGGAAATGATATCTATTTAAATTAAATCAAGAAGAAGAAAAAGAAAAGAAGTTTCCTTTTCCTGAGAAAGTAAACATATTTTTTCTTTAATTTCCTTATACTTTGGAATAAAGGGCAGCTAATAAACCTTTAAATAAACTATGCTATACAGAAATATTTAGTTTGGTCTTTAATGAGCCATTTTTGTTACCATGTAGGCATTATAGAATGATAATACATCCCAACTCTTCTAGTGCTGCCTTTCTGGGAGCATATATGCATTGTTAGACACCATGGAAGCATGAGAGATTAACTGGCTTCCTGCACTGTCACTGACACTAATACACTCTGTGGTCCTTAACCTCTCTTCATCTCAATTTTCTTCACTATAAAACTAAAGCACTCACGGGACCCACGTTTCTATTAATAATTTTTTCTTATGCAGCTTATAGATAACATTTGAAGTGCATTTGATTTCATTAATCCCCCCAAGAATCTGTAGGCCATTAGAGGCAACTTCTGAACAACAGATTCTTTAAAGATCTCACCAAGTCTAAAACTCTATTATTTTAGCATTGGAGCAAAGAAGGGGAATGGGAAGAAAAGACATGCAAATATTACTTACTTTTCAAATAAATGTCTGATAATCAGAAAGAGAAAAGCACATGGAATTGTCATATATAAATGAGAAGGTTTTGCAAAGATGAGTCCATCACGATCTTCAAGATCTGACCACTTTATTGTTGGAGGAAGCCAGAATCTTTCCAACCAGAACCATTCTTTAAACGTCTGAAACATTCTAAAGAAATGGAAAAAGAATACATTAGACTTATAAAACAAACACTTAATATCGGAATAACGTTGAATACCTTCACTCAAAATACTGACACCAGAGAGTTCTGAAAATAAGACAAGAATGGAACACTATTATGTAATGGGTTTAATGACCCTTCATTGAATTAAATAAGAAGAACTCTTCCAATATTCTGAGAACAATTTTGGTTATGGCATGACAAACTGAAGTTTAACACATTGCTGTTCATACTTTCAGCAGAACATATATGAATAGTATGGGTATGTATTTTCCTCTTAAAAGATTCTATGGTATAAAAAAAATAACTGAACAATAGGCTCTACAACTTCAATACACCAAAAGTTAACCTCCTGAATGCTCTCAGTATGTATAAATCTTCACTAGTACCCTAAGAAATTCTATAGGAGTTAAAGGACAGGAATATTTAATTTCATATTATAACAAAGAGTTCAAATTAGTCCATTTTAATAAATATTTATTGAGATTCTATTATTTGTGAAGCACTATGATAGGCACTGAGGATACAAAGATCAGTTTTAAAGACAGGGTTCCTTCCTTGAGGAACTAATATTCTTGCAGGCAAGGCAGGCCTGAAAAGTTAACTTTCATGAAATTTTTTCTAGGTACAATAAATAAGGTATATACAGGGTGCTGTGGGAACAAGATGGTGGGCACTGAGCCCAGCCAGGAAGTATCAGGGAAGAATAATTGGAATAGATAGTCTTTGTGATATATTGAACAGTAAGTGGAAATAAGCCAGGGAATAGCAGAAAACTGAAGAAGAGAGGATAGATGTTTTAAGGAGAAAAAGTACTATGATCCAGTAACCCAGAAACACAGAATAACAAGAATTTGATGTTTTAATATCACTGTTTAGGCCGTGATCATTTTGGTCTTGGCATTTTGACCTTGAGGATGTTTTGATTTCATCTTTTAATGTTTAATCAGAAAAAGGAGTCAATATGTCCTCAGATTCATAATAAGGTGGTCAAAATAACTCTATCAAAACCTCTTGATCTGAAAATTACAAGGTGTACATGGGTAACTACCAGCAGTTTGGTACTACTACAGTGAAAGGTATGGAATGTTGAGTTCCAAGGTATGGAATGTTGAGTTACAGATAGGTTCCCAGGTAGTCTTAGTTTATTGTCTTGGCATAATTATTAATAGCTCTTCCTGTCTTGCAGAAGTGGTCCTATTTGAACAATAAATTATACAGTCACTATGATCAAAAGGCTAGTGAGATAGGCAGGTTAGGTCTTAGAGGGATTACTTGTATTCCATGCTTAGGAGCTTGGACTGTAGCTAATAGGACACACTGAAAAGTATTATTATATGTAGAAGAATAAGATGGTCAGATATTTTAGAAAAGCCACATTGGCAGCCAGGTCCTCTGTGAGCCCACATAGTATCTTTGTACCAACTAGAGGCAGGTGTTCTTCCTGGGAAGACATAGCTCTTCAACTCAGTGGGACAAGGGCTGGATTTCAGGCCCTGCCCCTGCCTCTGCCTCCACCCCTACCCAGGCACACACAGCAGCTCTGCTGGAAGTGGCATGGAACACATTCCAGGGATAGAGAGACTGGAGAGCAATCAGGAGCTCACAGCAATAAGTGCGATCAGAAATGGGGAGGCTTGGTTGGAGAAGTGGTGACTGGAAGGAACTGAAGATGTTGGCCATAATGTTATTATTCATAGGATCCAAGCTGGGTAGAGGGAGTCCAGTCCTTATTTCTTTTCCTGGAGAAAGGCCACCTTTTTTTTTACATGAATTATCCTTTTACTATAATTTCTACCCCAAGGGGGAAGGGTAAATCCCATTCATACAGTTGCAAAATCATACAAGTATGGTGGAGCAAAAATTATCAACAAAGATTTAGCAAAAGGATATAATAGAACTTAAGAAATGAAAGAGTCATGGAATTTCAAAGCACAGAAGAAAGCTTTAATAATAGGGTAAACCAAGGAGAAGAAAGAATCTTAGAGCTTAAAGATAAGGCTCTCAAGATAACCCAGTCATTCAAAGAGACAGAGTATAAAAAAGTCTGAGCAATCACTGAGAGAGATATGTGACTTTGTGAAGCTAACTAACATTCAAATTATAGGTATCTGAAGGAGAAGAAGAAAGAGCTAAAAGCATGGAAAACCTATTTGAGGAAAACTTCCCTGATATCATCATAAATTCACACATACAGATACAAGATGGACATTGAACACCAGGAAGATTCATAGCAAATAGGTCATCTCCAAGACACACAGTAATCAACCTGGCCAAAGTCAAAATGAAGGAGAAAATTCTGTAAGCAGCAAGATAAAAGCATTAAATAACCTACAAAGGAAAACCCATCAGTCTAACAGCAGATCTTTCAGCAGAAACTTTACAAGCCAGAAGGGATTGGAGCCCCATTTTTAATCAACTTAAATAGACAATATCCAATTGTCTATCCAATTGTACAACATTGACAATGTTGTATCCTGTAAAACTAAGTTTCACAATTGATGGAGAAATGAAGTCTTTTCCAGACAAGCAAATACTGAGGAGATGTGTCATGACAAGGCCTGCCCTGCATAAAATACTCAGAACAGCACTATACACAAATCAGCACAACAAAAACCCATCATTGTAAAGTCACCTAAAAAAACCCCACCAAACTCGCAACTCATAAAACAATAGAACAAGAAGTAAAACAAAGAAATAAGGGACTATTCAACAGGATAAACAGACCAACATCCCATATATCAATGCTGTCAATCAATGTCAACAGACTGAATGATCTTCTCAAAAGACATGCTGGCTTAATGGATGAGAAAACACAACCCAATTATCTGTTGTCTCCATGAAACACATTTAAACAACAAGGACACACAGACTCAATGTGATAAGATGGAAAAAATATGCTGCACGAGTGGAAATCAAAAGAGACCAGGTGTAGCCACTCTCATATCAGATAAAATTGACTTTAAGCCAACAAAGGTAAAGAAAGACAAAGAGAGTCATTATATAATGGTAAAAAGAGCAATTCAACAAGAAGGCATAACAATCCTAAATATATATGGATTCAACACAGGAACTCCCAGATACATAAAGCAAATTTTACTAGAGCAGAGCTAAGTAAAAATAAATAAATAGCACCACTGTAATTTCCAGGGACCTCAACACCACACTGTCAGAGCTCAAAAATCATCAAAGCAGAAAATAAATAAGGAGACAATGGACTTAACCAAACTCTAAAGCAAATGGATCTAACAGACACTTATAGAACATTCTACCCCAAAACTACAGAGTACACATTCTTCTCAGCAGCACATGGGACATTCTCTAGGACTGAGCATATCTTAGGCCATAAAACAGGCCCAAACAAATTCAATAAGATAGAAATCATACCATGTAACTTCTCACACTACATAAGAAAACTAGAAATCAATCATAAGAGAAACACTCAAACCTACACAAAGTCATGGAAATTAAACAATCTGCTGCTAAATAATTATTGGGTCAAGAGTGAAATTAAGATAGAAATAAAAAAATTCTTTGAACTGAATGACAAAGGGGACACAGCTATCAAAATCTATAGGACACAGGAAATGCATTCTTTAGGGGAAAATTCATAGTCTTAAATGCCTACAGCAAAGAGACACAGAGATCACAAATTAACAACTTAATGTCACACCTAAAGGAACTAAAAAGGAAGAACAAATCAAACCCAAAGCCAGCAGAAGGAAAGTAATAATGAAGGTCAGAGCAGAACTAAATGAAGTGGAAAACAAACAAACAAATAAAACAATACAAAGGATTACCAAGACAAAAAGTTTATTCTTTGAAAAGGTAAACAGAATTGACAGACCTCTTGCTAGATTAACCAAGAATGGAAGAGAAAGGACCCAAATAAGCTCACTCAGAAATGAAAAAGGTGACATTACAACCGATATCATAGAAATACAAACCATCATTCATGAATATTATGTAAATCTCTACGCACATAAACTAGAGAATGTAGAGGAAATGGAAAAGTCCCTGGACATACACAACATCCCAGATTCAACCAGGAAGAAACAGAAATCCCAAACAGACCAATAATGAACAGTGATATCAAAACAGTAATAGTAATAATAAAAAAAACCTCCTTTCCCAAAAAAAGCCCCAGACCAGATGGATTCACAGCCAAATTCTATCAGACCTACAAAGAAGACCTGGTACCCAGAGTATGGAAATTATTCCATAGTATTGAGAAGGAGGGAATCCTCCCCATCTCATTCTAGAAAGCCAGTATAACCTGGATACCAAAGCCAGGAAAGGACACAACAAGAAAACTACAGACCAATATCCCTTATGAATATAGATGCAAAAATCCTCAATAAAATACTAGCAAACCAAATTCAACAGCACATCAAAAAATAATACTCCAGGACCAAGTGGACTTCATCCCAGGGATACAAGGATGGTTCAGCATACATAAATCAATAAAATGTGATTTACCACATAAACAAAAGCAAAAACAAAGACCATATAATCATCTCAATAGATATAGAAAAAGCATTCAACAAAATCCAGAACCCTTTCTTGATAAAAGCCCTCAATAAACTAGGCACAAAAGGAACATATCTCAGATTTATAAAAGCACATGTGGAAAGCCAACAGCCAATGTCATACTGAATGAGGAAAAGCTGAAAGCATTTCCCCTGAGAACTGAAACAAGACAAGAATGCCCACTGTCATCACTTCTATTCATAGAAATGTTCTGGAAGTCCTATCCAAAGCAATCCAGCAACAGAAGAATATGAAGGGTATCCAAATGAGGAAAGAAGAGGACAAACTATCATTCTTCACTGATGATATAATCTTGTATTTAGAAAAGCTAGAAAATCTCAAAGATTCTGCCAAGAGTCTCCTGGAATTGATAAATAAATTCAGCAAAGTCTCAGGATACAAAATCAATGTACATATATCAGTAACATTTGTATATACTAATAACAGTCAATCCTAG